GGGGGGGGGGGGAATGGTTCCTGGTACCCCCTCCCCTCCGACGCCTGGGCTGCCGCTTGCTGAGAAAATGTATAGTGCCTCGGTGTTGAAAAATGACTAATCCAGACCTTGGAGGGTTTGTAGAATACGTTCCTTTCTCACGGTCGATAAAGATAAAGGGGATCGTTCTGCCAGCAAAATTAGTGTATCAAAGAGGGGGGGGGGAAATGACAAGAGCTGTGGAGACAGAAAAATGGTTGGGGCAGCCCTGGGATGGTGCCCAGCATCACACTGGTGCCCGTGCCTACGCCTCGTGCTGTGGAGGTGCCTACGGCCACGGGATGCAGACACAGACACTGGGGCAATACTGGGGAGCACTGCCCTGCCCAGGCTTGCTGGCGGTTTCCAGAGAGCCGTGAGAGACCCATCCATCACACTATCCATCCCTCGATCCATCAGGAGGAGGGGATGATACCGTGTGGCACGCCACTTTCCAGCCAGTGGTTGGCCTCCCCTCGCCTTCCCGGCACCGCTGCCGGCTGTCGGTGAGGGGCCACGGGGAACGTTCGCGCCTCGGTCGGGGGCTGCATGGAGGGGAGGCTAATGTACCGGAGGTGCCTCGGAAATGAGAGCCTTGGATGAATTCCTGGCCTTATTGATCCGCCGGCAGTTTATGCATCCTGACATTCGTAATCTCGGTCCGTGCTGATGGTCCAGATTAATGGGCCCGGGGGCTGTCCATCCGTCACTTCACATTAATTACTGAAGAGGTGTTTTTCCAGTGATTTACCTGACAGCGGCCTATGATGAATCCCCTTAAATGGAGTGGGCAGTGATTAATCACGGGGCCCCAGCCCAGCCCTGCTCTGCCTTCCCCTCAACCGCAGCGCAGCCCCCCACGCCATCCGTCTCCATAAACCCTGCCTGATGCATATTTATAGGGGCAGGGGGGCTTGCGGCATGCCTGCTTCTGCCAAAGATGATGAAAAATAAATCTCTGCCAGGACAGGGCAGCAGGTGAGCGGGGCTATGGCAGCTGTGTCCCCACACTGGGGTGTCCCTTGCCTGGGGTTTGGTTTCTGGTGCTCTGTGGCTGCTGCAAGCTTCTCTGTGGTTTTTAATACGTCACTGGTGCAAAGGGCTCTGTGTCCTGCTTCTGCCGTGGCTGCTGGCCCATGGGGCTGGGGGGTTCTCAGGAAGCAGCCACCAGAGCAGGGCAGATGCCTCAGTGATGCTGGAAGGGTTTCCTTGCTTCCCCCAAGCCCAGTACATCCCACTGAAAGCAGTAGGGCTGTGAGGTGCTCTGGGTGCCAAAACACATCTGCAGAGCCACTTCTGTGGGGACAATGTTTGGGATCCACTACCCATTGCTATGTGCTAGCTGATGTGGGAGTGAGGATGGGTGACAGGCTGGGATCCCAACCCACCGACCCAGGCAGGAGCCGCCCACTGCGGGGCCATAGGGATGCAGGCAGGGCAGTGACACTGTCTCTTCTCAACAGGCAGCAGTGGCACCATGCAGCCGGAGGCGGAGGGCAGCCGCCCGCGCCGCAGGAAGCCCGACATGGCCCTCTACGTGCCCAAAGCGCGGCGGGAGAGATCAGCACAAGTGGCAGGTGACACACTGGCCGGGCATTGCCGGGAGACCGAGAAGCACCGCCTGGTGCAGGACACTTGCCAGGGCAGTGGTGAGGGGCAGAGGCGAATCCCCCATGCCACGATGCAGGTGAGCAGAACAATAAGGAGAGAGACCAAGGTGGATGCCAGCCCAAAGGAGCCACGGGCAGCCCCTGCTGACCACTGCCAGAAGCCAGGAGACATCCGCCCCATTGCACTGAAGAGCTTGGGGGCATCACCCAGTGTGCTGCAGCTGTGCCTGGATCCAACTGCTGCCCAGCCTAGGGATGGGCAGGACAAAGCATCCCATGATGAAGGACTCAAGGAGCTCAGCCACGGCCACCAGATGATGAGGACCAAGCCTGACTCTCCATCCCTACCAGGTGCCCACTCTGGGTCTGCAGAGGCTAGCCCTGAGCCTGGGGGTGACCCCACTAGTCCAACGCCCCCGGCTAGCCCAAAGCCAGCATGTCGAACAGGGCCAGGTGGCATGTCAGAGCCTCTGGGGGGCAGCACCTTGGATCCAGCCGGGGACCTCTCCCAGCACGCTGGAGAGAGTGTCCTGCTGCTGGCAGGGGTGGGTGACCAGGGCACCGTGCCTGGGCTGACGTGGGACGCTGCAGGTCCAAATGCCCAGGGAGAGGAAAGGGAGTCTGGGGGGGTTCTCCTAGCAGGGCAGAGTGAGGGCTGTGCTGCTGGGATGTCAAGAGAGGAAGAGGAAGAGAGGAGGCAGGGAGGCATGGCTGAGCTTGCTGGGGAGAGCGCCTCGAGTGTACCAGGAACTGGCTGTGAAACCGGGTGCTCGAGGGGTGACATGGGTGACGCGCCAGTGCTCCCTGGGGAGAGTACCCCAAGGCAGTACATGGACAGCCCACCCCAGCTCCCACCTGGCAAGGAGGAGAGCACTGCCAGGGCTGGACATCCGAGTAGGGAGGGTGTCCCAGTGCCCACTGTGGAGGGAGTGGGCAGCACTTTTGCCTGCACAGACGGGACTGAGAGTGGCCTGCTGGGTGCTGGCGAGGAGCTGGTGAGCAGTGCGTGGGAGGGGGCACCCACAGAGAGCCATGAGCCCCTGCCACCCCTGGAGCTGCTGTGCCGTGGCGTGGAGGGACTCTCGCCCACAGCCTGGGCCAAGGAGCAAATGGGGGCAAGCGAAGACGTGGGTTTGCTGCAGCAGTGCCAGTGCGGCCAGGAGGCAGAGGAGGTAGAGGAAGATCTCTGCAGCAGCTCCACAAAGACAGAGGAGGCCAGTGCTGGGACCCCAAGCCAGGCCAGCCCAGGTGCTGAGGAGAGCTGGGACGCGCTGTTCAATGACGACGGGGACTGCCTGGACCCGCGGCTGCTGGAGGAGGTACATCCTGCTAACTGGCGCTTGTGGGGATTTGCAGGGACACGGGGACAGAGGTCCATGGGGTCTGATGTCCCTGTGTTCTCCACGGTGGGTGCACTGGGGGATGGGCTGCACCTGGGGCACATGGCCAGCCTGGCTGTGCTGCCTGCTGTCACCGCCAGCCATCCCTGAGGGCATGAGCTGCCTGCGGTCCGAAACACCTGGAACCTTCACCTTCACCCCAGCTGGTTCCCATCCTGTCCCATGGTGCCAGTGAGGGCTGAGGGAGGTCCTCCCTCGATAGTACATAAAGAGCACCCATTAAAACCTAGTCAAGTGCTGTAAACTGCAACTGCATGCTCATGAAACCAGGGCTGGTGGTAAAGAAATGGGCTGAGACGTACGGGCTCCCGTTGAAATAGCAATGGGATGTTTCCTCAAAACGGCGTCTTCTTAATCAACAGTAGCTCATTACCATCCCCTCCTGCATGCGTGCGGCTGAATTTACTACAATTAGCTGCTTAGTGCCGGGACCCACACCATTTCCCTGCCGTTTGCGAGGAAAGCTCAGCTTCTGCAGCAAAGCTGGATGTCCCTTATTGCATTTTAAATCAGTAGCATCACACTGGTAATTTTCTAAATGACATTAATGTGCCCAAAGTAACAAACAACGCTAATATTGTTGCAGCCAGTGTCCATCCACCCCGGGCTGGAAACAGGATGTGAAGTGGCGGATGGTGCCCGATAACAGCTTCTGGGAAGGGATGAAATTAGAGCATCATTACTGAGGAGCGCTGGTACCCACCTCGTCTGTGAGGCAGTGCTAGGGCTGGCCCTTGCCAAACCTGGCATGGGGCTGGGGCAGGGTGTGGGGCACACTCAAAGGGAGATGTGGAAGTGCTTTGGGTACCATCCCTGCCTGGCTGTGCTCCCTGCAGCTGCGGTCCCCCACTCTCCAGATGGGAGGTTGCGGTGAGTGCCGGTGTGAGGGGGATGGCGCTGCTGCTCTGATGGCAGCTGGCGCACATGGCACTGGCTTTCTGTGGGCTGGCATGGGGAGCACGGCTTTGTCCTCGGGCACAGTGGAGCGGCTGGGGAGGTGATCAGGAAAGACCTGTGTTATGGTGCAGCCCTAGGATGCTGTGGACAAGGTTGTGCTGTGCAGCACCAGGGCAAACTGTGAACAGCTCTGGAGTATCTGCTTTAGCTCCCTTGTGCACCAGCTCTGAGCTAAGTTTGAGCTTACCAGGGAGCTTCCCAAAATGGGTGAATAGGAACCTGAAAAAGGGATTTATGAATTTGCCATCTTCACCCCCCTGCAGGTTCCCATCCCGAGCCTGGTGCTTCCTGAGCCCTTCAAGCTCTCGGCAGGCGGATGTGGCTGCTTAGGGAGAGTGCAGGCTCCTGGGGAAATGGAGCTGCTGTTAATTAACAAAATGGACAAGAAAATTAGTAGTGTTCTTCCTCGTAACCAAATCCTTATGCGCTCCAGATAGCTGGCAGAGAGCAAGATTTATGACGTTCTGCGTGGAGGAGAGATTTCTGATAGGGGACGGCAGGAAAAGACACCGTAGTGAGACCCACTGGCTGGAAGCTGAAACAAGACAAATTCAGAGTAGAAATCATTTTGAACGCAGAGGGTAACGAAGCACTGCGACCATTTCTTTGCGGGCTCGGTGGACTCTCCATCAGCCAGCATGGCAGGGCAGGGGCCATGGTGGGTGTGTGCCGGGACTGCGGTGGGTGGGTGCTGGGGCCGCGGTGGGTGCGTGCTGGTGCACAGCTCCCCTCCAGCTGTGGAGGTGCTCTCCGCAAGTGAGCAGGAGTGTAAGCAAGCAGCCACAGATCCCTCTAACATGCTCTGGCAGGGATGCGTCTTTACAAAGCAGTGAGGTGTGACGGACAGGCTCCATTTCCTGCCTCTTCTGTCCGTCTGCCCATCCATTGGCAGACCCTTCCCAGTGGCGGGTGCCTGCAAGGACTAGGGTCTATACTGTGGCTCTCACTCCCTGCCATGCCCCATGGCACCCATGTGCCCAGGCTGGCAGCATGGGGGGACCTGTTGAGCTGAGCCTGGCTGCCAGACGGCTCCCGTCCCCGCTGTCCCGCCACACTCGGTGATTTGTGAAGGTCAAGGACTGCTCCGGCACTCTGTGCTCCTGCTCTCTAATCATCTTCCTGGCGCCTGGCACTACCCGAGTGCTCTGCTCCCTCAAGCGGCACCACAGGGCTTCATCCTGCCCAAGGACGGCTCCTTTGACTCCCCCGAACGCAAACGGGGTGCTGGATGAGTGTGTTGTCCCACATGGGGTGCACTCCATTAGTGGGTGATGGTGGTGGGGCAAGTAGCTCTGGCGGCAGTGCTATCCTGCCCCGTGAGCTCCATAACTCAGCTCTCCCCTCCACCGGCATCCAGCCACGCTGGCAGTACCCCCTCACCTGCCGTGAATCCATCTTCCCCATAAAATTGTCGGAATGAGCACTTTTTATTGACTGAGCTGGCTGGGATTTATGGATTCTAACCTTCCAGCCGTGGTAGGCTCTGCTACGATCGCTTGGGGGATCAGGCTGGGAACGTGGCTAAGTTATGTACCTGCTCTCCAGCATCGCACAGGCCCCATGCTCTGGGGGGCCCCACACATCCTTAGATGGGGGAGCTGCCACCAACTTTGGGCTGCGCCTGGCCTGTTGTAACTGCTGAAGCAGGGATGTGACTCCCCTCAGCCACCAGCGTGACGTGGTTTGGAAAGCAGAGGTGCAGCAAGCGGGGCCCACTGCTGCAGGGTGGAGGGGAGGGGATGACTGCAGCTCCATGTGGTGACAGTGGGAGATGCTGCCCATGTTCCAAAATGAAGTTTGAAAAAATGGGAGAGGTAGAAACATGCTACAGCCATCATCTTCTAGGGCTGGAAAAAGTGTCCCGCTGTGAGATACTAAATGCGCACAACCCGTTCAGCTTATCAAGAAGAGGCTGAGAAGGGACTTGATTAGCATGAGTAAGTGCCATCATGAGGAGGGGACTGGGGACCAAGAGCTCTTTAATCCAGCAGAGACACAGAACAGGAACTACTGGCTGGAGAGCAAAGCCAGAGAAATTCAAATGAGAAATAAGACGTAACGTTTTAGCCACACAGGTGATTAACCACCAGAACTTGCTCCTTACGGGAGCACTGGCTTTTCCATTGTGGCATCTGGGGTGCCGAGAGGCTGCTGCAGTGCATGTGTTGCAGTTGAAGCATACCAAGCCCTGTGCTTCTGTGTGGCAAACATCAGTCTTTCCTCTTGCCCTTGCTGTCCTGCTCCTTGTTGTTCCCCATTTTGGGTCAGCACGTCACTGTAGAAGGAGGGGTGTGCTTGGGGATGCATGTGCTGTCTCACTGGAGCCATTCCTACTGCGTCCCCAGTGGGACCACAGAGCATGGCAAGTGAAAGGATGCTGGTAATGGGAAAAGCAAGTACGTGTCGTGAGAGCCCCGGTCGATAACTCCTAATATCTCAACACCATGAATCCATCTGCAGTGCTGGGGTGGGGGACAGGGGCCGGACCACTTCCCAGGGAGTGTTTGCCATGGACTGGGAGCTGGTGTGGGGCAGGGTGGGCACAGGTGCTCAGTGCTGTGCCTTTCCCACCCCTGTAGCTCTCAGGGAGTGAGAAGCCCCGGGAGAGCCAGCAGTCGCCCCGCTTCAACTACTACGGGGCTGAGCCTGCTGCACTGGACCTCAGTGATGCCGAACTGCCCCACGTCATCGAGATCTATGATTTTCCCTCGGATTTCCGCACGGAGGACCTGCTGCGTGTCTTCTGCAGCTATCAGTGAGTCTGCCAGCAGTGCCCCATCTCTGGCACTGGGGTCCCCTGCCTGGGCTCTGCTCCAGACCCCTGCCTGCCTGATGTTGATGCCTTGCTGAGCTTCCCTCTTTCTGGCAGGAAAAAAGGCTTTGATATTAAATGGGTGGACGACACGCATGCCCTGGGCATCTTCTCCAGCCCCATAACAGGTACTGCTCCAGCTGGGTATGGGCAGAGGGGAAGGCATCCCTGAGCCTCCTGCAGCTAGATCCTGGGTATGGGCCTGGTCCCACACGCAGACACCGCTGCTCTCTCCCTGCAGCACGTGATGCTCTCAGCACCAAGCACCTGATGGTGAAGACGCGCCCGCTCTCCCAGGGCACCCGTGCCTCTAAATCCAAAGCCAGGGCGTACGCTGGTGAGTGGTGCTGGCTTGTGCCATGGTGCTTGTGCTGCAGCATCTTTATCCCAATGAGTGGGGAGGGATGGGGCAGCCAGGACTTCTCAGCAGTGCCCTGTGGAGCCATGCTGCTGCCCCATCCCTCCTGGGATGCCCCTACTGATGCCCCCATCGCTGCTTACCCAGACTACCTGCAACCAGCCAAGGAGCGCCCCGAAACATCAGCTGCGCTGGCCAGGAGGCTGGTAATTGGTGCCTTGGGGGTACGCAGCAACCAGACGCCAGCCCAGCGAGATGCAGAGCGGAGGAAGCTGCAAGAAGCCCGGGGTGAGATTTGGATGCCAGGAGGGGCTCTGATGTGTGGACACCCACCCATGGATGCCCCTTCTCACAATGGCAGGAGGAGGCTGCACCAGAACGGGCTCCAGCCACGTCCATGGGGAAATGGGTGGCTGTGGAGTGATGGGGATGTGTGGTTGACTCTCCTCTTGTCTCTGCAGAGAGGAAACGCCTGGAGAACAAGCAGCGGGAGGATGCCTGGGAGGGTCGGGACTGAGCTGGGAGGCTGCAACTTCACCCCCACTGGGAAACCCACTGGAGTGCCCAGGCCCCTCTCTGTGGGCAGGCAGGGCACTCTGCATCTTCAGAGCTGGGATGGATCCTGCACTGTGTCCAAAATCACTGGGCTGCTCCGCCGGCAGGGCTGAGCAAGGTGCGCGCAGGCTGGTTGGTGCCATGCAGATGCTGTCGCTGTTGGGCAGCGCTGCCCATCCTGCCCAGGGCAGGACCTCAGTGCTCCCCTCTCCATGGGGAGCTTGGCAGCAAGCACATGGGGCTGTGCAGGGCAGCCCTGGCCACCTGGCAGGGCCTTGCGAGTGAGAGTTTCTGTCCTTGCTAATAAATACCATTTATTTTTATGTGCCTAGCCTGGCTGTGGTTCTCTGTCCTCCTGCATGCCAGCAGGGCTTGTGTGCCAGGAGCTGCTGTGCATGGCCCCTGCCACCATCGGGATATCGACCCCCCCTGGTGGTGGGTGTCCCCGATGGGTGGGTGGGGGACACAGGCAGGAGAGGCTGGGCAGGAATGTGCTGGCAGGGACCTTGTTTACTTCCGCGCAGCAGCTGTGGCCCTGAACAGCAGGGCCCTTGTTGGTGTGCAAGCAGGGCTGTGTTGCTGGCCCTGCACAGGGCTGTGATGTGGCCACGCTGCTGGCCCTGGCGGGCTGGGGGCTTCCTGCCCTGCCCTGGGGCGGAGGCGGGCAGCTGGGACCTGCCTTTGGTTCCTCTGCTTTTGGTCTCTCAGCAACTGAAAGCCAGCCCTGTGTGCCCCAGCACTCCCGCCCTGTAGCCCTGCAAACTCTTGGGGCCACAGTTTGTGGGGGTCCCATGCCCTTCGCAACTTGTGAGGGCAGGAACGATGCTTTTCCACCACCCCTGCCAAGGGTTTGCATGTTTTCGGTCCTGGCTGCCTTGCCCCAGCCTGTG